TTTTTTTAATTTGAGACCAGAGAGAATAAATAATTTTATCGTTATTTGATAATGATGATTTTTTACATATGTTTTTATTTTGATTTATTCTCACGTTGGGTTTAAATTTAGTGATTATTTTAAACATTAACTGAAGTTTTATGAAAGGAGAAATTTGACTAATTGCTATTCTCTTTTTATAATGCTGATAAAAGCATGGTTGAAAACGAAACTGTTACCCACACACTACCGACAATTCATTAAGGTCCACATTATTGGGCGAAGTCATCGTTCGGTTTCGCAGTCCCCAACCTGTTCACAGCACGTGGACCCAATAAACACCCTTAAATCATATAGGAGTGTTATGCTAAAATATAAATAAAAAATAAAGTTATGCATGCATGAATTTAAAACAATATATATCCAATAAAATATAATGCGTATTTTTAGATATTACTTTTTATATTTACGAATATTCCCAGTATGATTTAGTTACTTTTAGACAGAAAAACATCAAATATAATGATACTATATTCGACTTACTACTTTGAATTAGATCTATTTAAATTTAATTTGATCTAATTAAAAGTAATTTATATTAATCTGGATAATCTAATTTTTATATTTTATTTTACATTAAACAAAAAGATGATAAATGATAATCTAATTTTTATAGGTTATTTTACATTAAACTAAAAGATGATAAATAAACTAACTTTATTAAATTCATTTAATAATCATGAAAAACATTAAATATTAACCTGGCTCCTTCTTTGTTACAATTTTTTAAAGATAATTGTTAATAAATATTAAGTGTTAATTATCATTTTTCAGTTAAATTTTTTATTAATTGTAGATTTTAAACTGTTCAATAGGATTTGTAACAGTTATCTTAATAATATTCAATTAGATTTGCTTATTTAATAATTTAATAACGCTCGTTAAGATTCAAATCCCCCACTCATCTCCTTATAAATACTCTTTGCGTCAAATTTTTTTTCTTCCTTAAAACAAGACATGGTTCCCTCTTAAAAAATTTTCACCTACCATAAAAAAATATAGAAACTAATGAAAAACATATAAAAAAACAATAAATAAAAAACTACTAACCTATGAGTGAGGGTTTTGTTACAGTATGTTTTTGTGAAGTAATTTTTTTCTATAAATGTTTTCAATAAGTTGATAAAAAAGAAGAAGTTAAAGATGTATTAAATATAAATAAAAGTAAAAGTAATTTTAGAAATCTAAAGAAAATTAATTAATATATGAAATATTTATTTTCACAGTCATGTTTTATTTAGATAAAATAATGTTTGAAAAGTTTTGAATTCGAATAGCAAGTAGTTTAGTATTGTTTAAGCGTGATTTTAGATTCAAATCTTTATGTATGTAAAAAATGTTTAGTGATAAGCTCACCTAGTATATAATCCGAGTCAGATCCAGATTAAATTCGATGAAAAAAAATATAATATTTAAAAGAATTTATATGAAATTTATTAGTAAACATTGTCATTAATAAGTTTATTTTAACTTATTTGAAGTTTATATTATCAAATTTAAGACAATTTTTTATATATTAATATTATTTTAAATAATGCTTCTTTAAATTGTTAACCAAAATATATTATAAATTGCTGCGGTAGATTTCAAAAATTGTTTTTCAAATAGAGAAATTCTTACACAAATATATCTTACCTAAGTTATTCATATTAAATTAAAAAATATTTAATTTTGTTATTTCTTTTTATTAATATACACGAGAAAATATTATTTATTAAATGACAGAAAGAAAAGGCAGCGATATTACTTTATTAATATAATTTTATTTACTGGAAGTTAAATTATGAATATAAACACTAAGTCTATGTTAATACTATATTATAAACATTGCGGATCCATGTTAATAGCGTGATAAATATAAACAAAATTATTAGCATGCAAAATTGATATGTCTAATATCGGTATATTAAATGTTCATATTGGTATTAGTTTATTAAATATTTGTATAACATATTTTTTTAAAATACAAATTATATCATATCAGTAAAAGTTATTTTAATATCAAACGGTTAATGTACGACATTTTTTAGGGATATAAAATTATATGTCGAGTTGATATCTTAGAATAAAAAAGAAGTCAATTTTAATTATTTAAGAAATACTTTAAATATATTTTAATTCAAACTTATTATAGATAATAGTAATAATAACGGCTAAGAAAAAACGGTCTATGTCGACTCATAACTTATTTGGGACAAGACAAACTTTTTAGGCTTGTAGACCGTGGCCTAGTATTATGTCCTTTCTACGTTGTTGTGGCCCTGCAAAACCTACCCATATCAGAGGAATAGTACTACTACTTGTTCATCATTGCCTACACACCGCCGCAAAATGATTGCACACGTGCTAGCTCTCCGTGCAGCGTTTCTATACAATGATTAGAAAAAAATTAGAGAAAAGAAAAACAAATGAACAAAAAATACAGTAAATTTTCTATATTTAAAATAATTTATTTTCAATAAAAAAGTATTTTCTTCCTATTAAATATCATTAAAAAATTTTAATGAGGTGTTAAATTTTTTTTAAAATTCCAATCCTATCATTAATAAATAATGAATATAAAATTGTTAACTTTGTGTGATTCATTTTTTATTTACACAATAAAAATAATTTAATAAAATTGTTGTACTGTTTAAATATATGTTTTTTTTAATCTTTGTAAAAAAATCTGAAATGATAATAAAAGAGTAGAAAATATCGCTAAAAATATTTATTATTGCACTTAAGTTTTACTGAAGGATGAACATGGCTCAACTATTTGACACAGGCGATTAACCTTAAATCAAACAAGCATTACTAATGTCCAATTAATTTCGTACCAAATCTTGCACCCAAAAGAATTCATAGGTACCTATTTCTCAAGTCGCAAAATTAATACTTAGATTAATGGTGGATTAGACAGTAAAAAGAATTGGAATTTGGGAGAGCCCTACCAGCTGGATACTGTGAAGTAACTGTGGAGTTGTTTTTGTTTTTAAATTTAATTAATTTTTTTTGATATTCTATCAATAAAAAAATTAAATTAATTTTTCTATTATAAATTTAAGTTGTTATTATTAAACGATTGCACTTTTAAAAATTATATTTTTTGTTTTATCATATAACCTTTTTTATGCTAAGGATTTAATTTTACTTTTATTTATAATATTAAATTTACTCATTTTAAATGTTGTTACACTACACCAAAGATATCTATTATTTTCAAATAAAATAAATTATAAAATTTTTATAATCTTACTTAATCCCAATTTTAATTTTGAATTTTCACATATCAAATTAATAAAACAACATGTTTTGATTTTAATAATTTATTTCAATGTTTTTATTTCATTTTACATGTCTTATTTCTTTAATTTATTCTTATTCACTATAATAAATTTATTATTAAAAATGTTTTTGATGAATATTTTTTTATAATTTAAAATACTGGTCCAATTTCTGGAAAAAAATTACTAATAACTAATATAAAAGTAATCCTAAAATATTATCTAATTAATTGATAATATATTAAAATTATAAATTTTTAGTTGATAATTTTTCACACGGATAATTAGTAGTTACACTGAACATTTTAAGTTTAATTATATTATTTTAATTATACAAATCAAGGGAAAAAAAACCCATGCGCAAACTCTTCAAATTTTCTCTCAAACATACTAAATCTAAAGTTAAATAACAAACATATATCCTTACAGAAGAGGAGGAAAATTGAGGAACAACGTGCCACACAACCCACCTAATTTTATTTCATCAGTTACTGTTTTAGCTTATTAATACTCTCTTTATTGTAATTCAAGTATCGTTTTAGTAAAATAATTATATTAAGTAACATTTTAAGATTTTAATAAAATTATTTTTATTTAATTTTTTCTGTGAACTAATAAATAAAATGATTTTTGAGTTTGTGTGAATGATTTTTTGATAGATACACAAATAAATAATAAGGTTATTTTAGTATGATTATTCTACGAATCAAGATATTTGTTATTTTCATTAATCTTTGTAAAACAACTTTAAACATTAATCAATTTTAAACAGAAAAAATATATACATTTTGCTTCTCATAGAGTGAGGATTATTTGTTTTCAATTTAGTTTATTAAAAGAAAATACTAATTTTCTTTCATCAAGAGTTTTGTTTTCAATAAACAAAAGTTTTTAAAATATGCTATATTTAAAATCTCAAATCATTACATATACATTTATTGCTATTTAAATTTGTTTTCTTTTTTTCTTTAAATTATTCCCTTTTTTCTTTGCTTGTAAGAATTTAAACAAGGACAAAAATCCTTATTCGGAGGCTATATATTTGGAACGAAAGAATCAGATAAAGTAGAATGAAATAAAATAAAATAATATAATTCAAGTTTTCAAAAATAAAATATATTTAAAGGATTTTGCTAACTTCAATACTTTAGACTGATTTTAAGTAGTTATAAATAATTTTTTTATAAAAAATATATATAATTATTGTATTAAAATTATTAAAGTACAATAAATATATTTTTTAAATAATTTTTTACTATTATTAACTTACTGTTATTAAAACTCATATTTAAATAACAATTTTATTCCATTTTATTTTATCTTTTTTTTCATGTACCATTAAATCATGTTATGTAGAAATAACCAGAAGATATTCCGAGATGTCATAAGAAAGAAAATAAATAGTTGAGTATGGGTAGCATAAATCATTTAATATTGTTCATTTTCGTAGGGTTACATACAATGCACACGCTCAGAAAAATCATTAGGAGGCAGAGGATAAAAGATGTGCAAAGCATGAATAGTGTAGGCCCTTGTGACTGTTCGCCATAAGCTGGATAGAAAGGTAAGCTGTTGTGACGTTTTCCATTTCAATGCTACAGTGCAGTGTTCGTCCATTCCCAAACCTCCTATATAAAAAAGACTTTCTTCCCTCCCACTTCCATTCTGCATTAACCAATAATTTTGTGTCCAAACATGTCCATGGCCATCTTTAACACTTTTGGAAACGTTGGTGTCTTTATTCTGTTATTATTATGGCTTCTCGTATCTGCTTTGTGTGTTTGGGGACGACCCGCCACTTTTGTGCAAGACTTTCGAATAACGTGGTCTGACTCTCATATAAGGCAAATTGATGAAGGCAATGCCATCCAACTCATTCTAGACCAAAACTCCGGTAAGGGATAACTTGTCAAACTCTTCTCTTTATTATGGATGCTTCTATGCCAAAGAGAGAAGAAACACACTCTGCTCTTTTACAGGCTGTGGTTTTGCTTCTAAAAGTAAGTACATGTTTGGCCGCGTTAGCATGAAGATCAAGCTCATACCCGGTGACTCTGCTGGGACTGTCACTGCATTTTATGTAAGTTTAAAGTTTATGTTTTAAAACATGTTCACAAATTTGTAAATTATTATTATTATTTTTCTTATTTTAATAAAATTTAAGAATAAATTTATATCATAAACTTGTACATTAACGTTGGTTATGTTTGAAGAAAAAAGGGGCTGAACAAAAACGAATTGGCATTTATTTAACAGTTGGTTTGTGGATTATGGTAGATGAACTCTGACACAGACACTGTACGGGATGAGCTGGATTTCGAGTTCTTGGGAAACCGCAGTGGTCAGCCTTACACAGTTCAGACAAACATCTATGCTCACGGAAAGGGTGATAGAGAGCAGAGAGTCAACCTTTGGTTTGACCCTGCTGCGGACTTTCACACATACACTATTTTATGGAATCATCACCATATTGTGTAAGATATATATACAATTACCGAGCTACTACTACTACTTCTAATAAAATTAAGTAATTGAGCACCATTTAAGAATTGGCAATTATGCATGCAGCTTCTACGTTGATGAGGTTCCAATTCGAGTGTACAAGAACAATGAAGGAAAGGGAATCCCGTACCCAACGATGCAACCAATGGGAGTGTATTCAACGTTGTGGGAAGCTGATGATTGGGCAACAAGAGGTGGGTTGGAGAAAATTGATTGGAGTAAGGCACCTTTCTATTCTTATTACAAGAACTTCGACATTGAAGGATGTCCAGTGCCAGGTCCTGCTAACTGTGCCTCTAACCCAAGTAATTGGTGGGAGGGGGCTGATTACCAAGCTCTTAATGCCATTCAAGCCCGAAGGTACAGGTGGGTTCGTCTCAACCACATCATCTATGATTACTGTAAAGATAAGTCTCGCTACCCAGTCACCCCTCCGGAGTGCCTCGCCGGCATTTAATTTAAAACCCAAAACTCATATCAGTTTCAATAATTCAATTACATGCCGATCGTAACCCAGAATCTGTGTATTATGTATATTTACTTTTCTTGAATTGATTCTAGTTTTCCCCATGTGAAATACATGTAATAAGTTGTTACTTGTTAGCGGTATAACCACTTGCAAAATAAAATGTAAAAAATTAAGAGAAAGATAAATAACTATGTCATCATACCACGTGGATAAACTGAAATTTACACTTTTGGGGAGAGGAGAAGGGCGATGTGTTTATCTAGCTTGCATATTATTGATGAGGGGTGTATTCTTGGGATAGCAAATCTCATTTTTTGTACTATTAAGACTTCCTGTGTTTCGCTATAAGCAAGGACAATGAGTGGTTGCTGGTTGGTCTATAACATTAACATGCTGTCAAACATCACGAACAAATATTTTTCTAACAACTATTTTCGCTATTACATATCCGATTGGTAAATATTATCCATGCCGGATTTCTCATGGCAGACCAGCGTGATACTTCTCATAAAAGTTAGCATGTTTGATATATACTTCTCCAACTATATTTGCCTCAATTGAATTTGATTATTTTTTATTATCAATACAACATGCCCTTTAGCAACAGTGTCAGCTATCAAGACAAACATGAATACTTTATATTATCATAACGATGTACTTCCACAAATGGGTAACATGTTTCAAATACAATTACGAGAAATTGATACTCTAAGAAAATCTTAGATACATTGGGAACGGCTGTACCACATGTTTTGTCTACCCTTAATCTCGTATAGAATAACAAATAACCAATCTAGGACACAAGGCATCAATCCCCCCACCACCCGTGCTACGTGCACTGTATTCTTCTTTTTGTTTTGTGAATATATGTCAAGGCTACCCAACATTTGAAATCATAAAAAGGGCAACATGATGCTATAAAACTCTCGCCACAGTAAAGTCCTAGGAAAGGTCAAATTCATTATATATTTATTGTGGGTAGTCGTATCTTGTATTTTACAATGAAAAATGTTTGAAGAGTCTACGTCTAAAGAGATATATAAATAATAGAGAAAAGTAATCAATATTATGATGTGATAACAAAAGAGAAATAGAGATGAATAATGATAGTTGTTAAATATATAAGTATTGATACTGTTTGAATGTTTTATGAATTAAAGTTATTAACAATATAGATTGATTCTATTACTCTAACCTCTGACCTTTCTAGTCTCACCATAACAACTTCATCCGCCGTGACAAGTTTCTCCTTCTCATGTCTGAAATCATGATAAAACAGAAAGTCTTGAACTTCATCTTGGCAGAATTTGCTAATATTACTCTAATTTCTCAAACTCTCACGAGATATTTCAACCCTTATATGCAATACATAGATAAATTCAACACCCTGGAGCAGTTGCTCTTGCTCCAACTTCTAGACCAAAATATGACAAGCACCTCAAAAGTTTTACTGGCTTCATTAAAAAAAAATTAACTACGAGTTTCATTGGTTGCATATTCCCTTTTTTTAATAACGACCCAAATGGTTGAAACGAATTCTTGAGTCATCCCTGTTGCGGAAGAAAAAGAATGGAGAATGTTGATTTTGGAATAATCTAATTTGTGTGTAGAGTCACGCGGGCTCATTTTAATTCCAAATTAAACTGATGCATTAGTTTTAATCAAATCTTTATTATTTGTGTTATCATTTCTCACACCCCCAGGCCTCAGCACAACTATTTGAGTACGAACAAATCTTCATGAAATCTTGTGCATTTCGCTATTGATCAATCAATTTAGGGTGAAATTTTAGTTTTCACTAAAACTTTCACGTGCAAAATTCATAAGATCCATTCATACAGTAGTTAGATACTAACTACCCGCCTTAAAAGGAAACAAACAAAAAGCAAAGCTAACAACTAAACTAACACCCTCCCTAAACTTGGTAGGTGCAAGTCTTGTAACCCCAACTCGCCGATAAAGTCTTCAAAGGATGTTGAGTGCTAGGGTTTTGTGAAAGCATATGCTAATTGAGCTTGCGAGGATATAGGTAGGAGGTGGATTAAACCAGCCTTGATTTTCTCTCTTATTACGTGGCAGCCAATTTTTATATTTTCGGTTCTTTCATGAAAAACTAGATTGTGAACTAAATGAATGGCTGAAGTATTGTCACAATATACAATTGTTGGTTTCTGAATTTGTACTTTAAGGTCTTGAAACAAGTAGTTTATCCATTACATCTCACAAGTTAAGCTTGCAGGGCTCTATATTCTACTTCAGTTGATGATTTAGATACAATGGCTTATTTCTTTAATTTCGAGAGATAAGGGATTTTCAAAACAAATGCAAAAACTAGTTATGAATTTCCTAGTTTATGTACAGCATGCCCAATCAGAATCTGCAAAGGTTGAGGGTTTTAATTCTGATGATGCAAAGAAAATTGTCTTGAGATGGATACCTTTTGAGATACTTGAGCACACAAATTGCAGTTACGAACTGAGAAAGTTGTTGAACAACATAGGATATATATGGCCTTGTTACAGTGAGATAAAGTAATATTCCAACTAGTCTTCTATAGGATGCTATATCAGTTAGGGGTTTTCCTTTATTGGATTGAACTTTTGTTAAAGGATTAAAGGGAGTTTTAATAGGTTCAGTAGTCAATTTGCCATTGTCTATAAGAAGTTGGAGTGTATACTTCCTTTGGTTTAGATGAATACTTTTTTTTTTTTAATCTTGCTACCTATAAGCCTAGAAAAAAATTATCTCAGAGAGCTTAAGTCCCTAATCCTGAAAGCTTGATCAAGGTGCTATTTCACCCTTTTGATTTCTGCCACGTTATTTCACCTCATTATCAACATAAACTAATAATGTTGTGAAAGATGATCTTATGCTTTTAACAAACAAGGCTTTATCTCCATGAGATTGCTAATATTGAAGTGATATGTAAGCTTTGATCAAGGTTGCATGTCATTCTCTGCTTGTTTTATTTTCTGCTTGTTTTCCTTAACTCATAGAGAGATTTGTGCAATTTACACACTTTAGTTGAACATTCAGAATTGTTAAACAAGGTTGTGCTTCTTGCTGTTGTTGTGCGTGAACTGACTTTCCATTTAATTTTTTTTAATTGTAATCAAAATATTTCCTTAATTTACTGATGATTTAAGATATTTTACATAATTAATGAATAAGTCGATATAAAATCTTTATCAAATAAATGTCAAAAATATAAAAATAAGTAATAAAAATATTCTAAAATATGGACTTATCAATAATCATTAACTAAGGTAAAAAAATATTTATAACCAAAATATGAAGGTATAGAGTATGGACTTCAAATGTCAACATGCAAAACTTGAAACATAATTACTATTAGAAAATGACAACTTTCTCTATTTTGACATATGGCAAACATCACAAGGGAATTCATTATTGCAATGAAAATTTCACATAGATTAGTTTATAAACAAAATTAGAAATGTGTCCTATCTTAAGGTGCCAAAGAAAACATCTTTGTTAAAATCAGTCTTAGCATGATGAACATTGGTTGAGGAATTCTTGATTTTTTCCAAAGGCAAGTCTAAGACAAAGATGCCTTGTTGTTTCCTAGCTGAACTAATCATCCTCTTATAATTGTTTTGCAAAATGAAATAAGAAGTATCACAAAGAACTAAGTGACACTGAAACTACTCTAAGAGCTTAGTGACATAAACCAAATTCATATAAAATTTTGGAATGAACAAAACATCATGTACAATTAAAGTTCCTGTCAGAGAAACAGTACCAAAAATATTAGTTAATGTTAAGAGTCTAGTAGTATATAGTTTTTTAGTTAATTTTAATATTTTTTTCTTCTTCTTTAACTTCTTAAATTTCATTTTTTCTTCTAAATTTATTAGAATTATAGTTTTTACTTTTTTCTTACCTTACTACTGTTTTGGGTGAAAATTGTTGAAGTTTGGATATTGATTGCAGGTTATTCAATGCCAAGGCACAGACCTATGTGTGCCAAGGCGCCACCCAAGTGTGACAATATACTCTCGGGTCATCTTGTGCCAAGGCGCAAGTTTGTATGCACTAAGGCACTTATCACAATTAGCTAATGAAGTTGCAGGACTTTCAGCGCTAAAGTGCAGACGTTTGTGCGTCAAGGCACAAACTTACTGACGTGCACAATAATACATATTGTAGAATATAAAAGAGATTGGAGACACATTGTAAGGGAAGGTAGGGTTTTTTACGAGAGAGAGCCAAGGAGCAACTCTTTGAGGGCAAGAAGACTGGACCTATAGTCTTTGGAGAGAAAGATTGGAGAAGATTCATATACTCATTTTCTTCTCAAGAATATGGCTAAGGGGACTTTTCCTTCTTTTGTTGTGTTTTTTATTTCTATGATGGATTGTTAAACATTTTGTAGTTTGGGTTGATGGATCCCTTTGGGATTGTGATGTAATTAGATTCTTGACTCTAGTTTAAGCTTCTTTTGATGTTAACTTGTAAATCCATTTTTAATGCTTGGTATGAACTAGCTAATCATGCTTTGTTTTTATGAACCTTCTTGACATTAGAAAATGGAATGAGTGTTTGTGCTTCTTGATTTACTTGCCTCATCATTTAATTTTCTAGGAATAGAAATTATTGGGTGTGTGATCTTTTGGTTCCCTTGTACTCTAAAACCTTTTATACTCATACATTGGAATTAAGGAATTAATCTTTGTGTATGAGTTTAAGAGAATTTGTATACCACGAACTTGGATATGAATTAATTTAGTGGAAATTTTTCTTAACATCTTAAGAAGAGCTTGAACTAGTAAAAGAGTTTAATTTATTACATGAACAATGGGTGAAGTCTAATCCTAACTATCTTGTCATTGAATTTTCTCATTTTATTTCATATTTTGTTGTTATTTACTTGCAAAGTGAATTAAATTAATTTATATTTTAGAGTCCCCTTCAATCCTAACTGCATTCAATTAGTTTAATTTAGTGAATCAATACGTGTTTGTATCAATCTCTGTGGGAACTGATGACAACCACAAACCGTGTCGCCGAATT